GAGGATTTTTTGTTTTTTTTTTTTTTTTTTTTTTTTTTTGAGTTGGGGTTTCATGAAGGTCAAGTTGTTGTCCTCCAATTCTCTATGTAGCAGAGACAACCTTGACTGTTACTCTTCCTCCTGAGTTCTGGCGTTACAGGCACACACCACCACACCCATTTTAGGAAGGGTTTATTTAGGCTCACCACGTACAAATGAGTACAGTCAGTCCGTCCTGGAGAGGAAGGTGTCATGCGAGAACCTGAAGCTGCTGATCCCATGACGTCCCCAGTCCAGAAGCAGAGAGCTGAATGCCGGTGCTCATCTGACTTTCTCCTTTCCTGCCTTTTCTTCATTCCCAGCTCCCAGGTCGTGGGATAGTGCTGCAGATGTGTAGCAGGTACAGTAGGGAGGGCTCTTCCCTCGGCTAAACATGTCTGGAAACATCCTCACAGACATACTCACAGGTCTGTTTCCTGGGTGATTTTACATCTAGCCAAGTTGGCGATGACGGTCAAAGATCCCAGAGTCTGTAGAGAGAAACAAAGCAGGATGCTCTGGTGTGGGATGTCTTCATCACTTACTGTTTTGCAGTGGGGGCTTTCAGACCCCATTACATTCCTAAATATCACTAAGGACATATCTGAAGCACTTTGGTTAATCAAGTTTTTTAGAACTTTAGCCAATCAGTGGTAGTGCATGCCTTTAATCCTAGCACTTGGAAGGCAGAGGCAGGTAGATCTCTGAGAGTTAAAAGCCAGCGTGTTCTACAGAGCGAGTTCCAGGAGAGGCTCCAAAGCTACAGAGAAACCCTGCCTCAAAAAGCTAAAAACAACAACAAACAAACAAACAAACAAAACCCAAAAATCAAAAAATGAAATTATAGCCAGGGGATGGTAAGATGTTCAGCAGGTAAAGGCCCTTGCCACCAAGCTTGATGGTGTATGTTCCCAGGAACACAGCCCATATGGTAGAAGGAGAAAACCAACTCCCTCAAGTTTTCCTCCATTTTTCTTTTTTCTTTATTTTCTTTTCTTTTCTTTTCTTTTTTTTTTTTTTTTTTTTGGTTTTTCA